AATATACAGGCATTTTGGGAAAATAATGTGAGCAGCCCAAAGGAATAAAAGCCAAATGCAGAATGGGTCCGGCGTGAAGAAGAACGAATGCTGGATACACCTCTGCAAGAATGGGAAAATATATAATATATATATATAATATTATATATATAATAATAATCGCCATCATGATAAAGTTGATTGTTATGTGAATTGGAGAGAAATATGGACGAGGAATTCCGAAACCAGAAAAGGGACAATAATAATGTAAACAATGAATGTCGCTTTTCGTTCAACACACGTTGGTCTGCCGAAACCTCAGAAAACTTTCCAAAATGTAATGCTGTTTCCATTATTACTTGTAGCAAACACACAATATGATACGAGTTATTGCAAAACTAAAGAATATATCAACGGCATGCTACTGCTGTACACATCTCATACGGTGGCTAAGGAGTGGTCTATAAATATCGAGATCCTGAGACGAGTTCAAAGCGTGGCAGTAGTTATTTCTTCATTATGATTTCCCACCGTAAATTTTAAAACACAGTAGCGTATGACTTTGAGAAGGTTAGCACAAGAAATAAAATATTTGTTAGATTTATTCGTTCTGTAAACATGGCTTTTACTATAATCAATAGATTTTAAATAAAAGAAAGAAGCTTTGTTTGTAAATAGAGCATTTATCTTTGAAGCTATTTTCCAAAGAATTATTTTCGAACAATTTTTCATTAGCAGAATTAGAGAAATAAATAAGCGAGAATCTTTTATATATTGAACTAAAATGTACTGTTTTTAAACGCATGAATTTGCTAGAAAGTTACTATCCGAATTTAATTCCAGAACGTCCCAAGTTACAGTCTCTGATAGTATCACTGTATACACGTATAATCTATCCTCTACTGAAGACGGTTTCCATTACACTCGACTGAATTAGGTCGATGATCACGTGACCAAATGAAAAGATCATTTTCAAACAATTACATGTTTCCTTTGATAATTTTCTATTTTGCTTGTTTCATTTTTAAATGAATTAGGAAATTTCACATACGTTGTGTTTTAGGACATACTGATGAGATCAATGAAAAATATGTACGCGTCAACAGAAAGTATCTTTATGAGTATTAAAATGGTATGCCGTAATCGCTGGGAGTAGTGGCATCCTCCTGTAATCCGGCTACTTGGAGGCGTGGTCGGGTGGCCAGTTTGAGACCGGTGGTTCTGTTGCACGTTGCGTTATGGCGATCAGGCGTCCGCACTAAGCCTGGCATCAATATGATTAGCCGGAGAGGCTTCAGCTGATCAGGTTGACTAACGAGGACGGCTCGGTCGAGGGCAGGAACGCAGCAGACAAAAGTCCCCGTGCCAAGCAGTAGTGGGATCGCGCCCGTGAATAGTGCGCGTGCGGCACTCCGTTCAATATAATCGAACCCCGTCCTATTTTTGGTTTTTCGCTGCTACTAAAATACTTTTACTATTTTCATTCAAATCTATCAAATTTTCATATTTACTTGTCACAACAGACACCTTAAGTAATAGTGCATTGTTAATACAAAAAAAGGCATACAGGAGATTTGAATTTTCCTAACATTTATACGTGTTAGCAAATCAGTGTAATTTTTCATGGGAACATTCTACATCTTACAATTTGAAGCAGATTCATTGCAGCAGAAAAACAAATGAATTCCTATATTTGATTCTCTTAAGAAATGCAACTCTATACAATAAAAATGTGTAATAAACCATGGATTGATATTTGTTAATATTATGTAAAGAATCCTATTCGTAGCCGTGTCCATCTTCTCTTCTTCGGCTTCAACGTTATTATTATCACTACTGGAATATGACGTCTGTTTTATCTTTGTAATGTCAAAATACATAAAATGACAAGTTTTTGCTACGAATGTGTCCATTCGTATTCATCTTTATTATCATAACTGCTGAAGTATGTCTGTTTTATCTTTGTAATGTCCAAAAAGGACGCAATAATTGATAATGATAATTGAAATAATAATAATAACAATAATAAATTCCATCATGAGAAAGTTGTTTTTTCTCTGCATTTGTGATGATTTATGGACTTACAATCGGAAGTATATTCGTTAGGACAGAAAGCCAAATAAATTCCTTTATTTGATTTCCTTAACTCTATACAATACAAAACCAGTAAAAAGAACTCATTTCTGTTGGTTCATATTATGGAAATAATTTTGTTGGTAACCCTATTTATCTCCTCCTCATCCTCTTCTTATATTTTTTTTTATTTTAAACTCCCGCCCCCCAGAAAGCGATATACGAATATGACGCAAGGGACTACTGAAAGTGAAATAGAATGAAACGACTTCAGAAGGAACCGGAAACCCATTCTTAAGTCGGAAACTGGGGATAAATTTTTACTCCAATTTAAAATACCGCGGAGGATTGTTAACCAGAAGGTAGGCGAACCTATTTACTCCCATCACATTTTACCAGGGAAATATTTATGTTTTGACTAATGCCGTCTTTTGAATACCGACTTTTGGTCCTCCTAAGTTGTTGTTCTTCCGTTGCGTCCGATTGTTTTATCGCTTCTGTTCTTTCCTCGTTTAATTGTTATTTAAATCTTCTTTCATCGTTTGGGAATGTTCCATTCTGTTAGTATCGTTGGATTTTGTTGCAGTATCTCTTAAATTTGCTTCCCTTTGCCAAGATCTTTGGGTTTCATCTCCTCCGGTTTAGTTGTTTGTATTTTTGTTGTTGTTGCTTGTCTTTAGTCGTTGTCCACTGCGTTTGGTTCCTCATAAATTTTGTTTCTTTCCCCAATGACTCCGCTTCTCCTCGTTTTTACATGCGTTCTTCCAGTCTTATCTCCAATTTTTGCCTCTTTGTTTCGGTTTGAACGTCCTTATTGAACAATAATTTTGTCTCCTGCATTCAATGGTTGGTTCGTTTCAGTGACCCCAGAAAACGTTTTTTTTTACATATTTTTTTCTGTATTCAAATTTGATTAAATTTTAAGTAACACCACTAATAAAATTCAGAGACGTAATTTATTTTTTCTTTCTATAAATACTTTCATTGCCATTGTTCGGATGAAGTTCCCGCTATGCTACCTAGAGTTTTGAAATAAAGTGCAGTAGTAGATTGGTAACTAGGTCTCATCGATTTACAGTTGAATTGGCTCGATCCAAACGTAAGTTTTATGCTAACTGTTTCTTCTCACGCACTTCTCTTTTGTGGAACTCCCTTCCGACTCCATGCTTTCCAGACAACTTTGGATTTCACAAAATTAGATGCAATGTCAATCGTTATCTACCGTCTTCTTGATTCCTATAGTTCTATTGATCTCACTCTTTAATAATGTTTTTTTTTTTTTTTTTTAATTCTTTTACACCCAGTAGCCCCTGGTGTCTTAGTGACTTTACTTACTTGTTTGGGGTGAAAATATTTAAAAAAAAAGAAGATTTTTAAAAAATTAAACAAAATGAATAACTAAATGCGAATTTAAGCGCGGTACCAGATTGTCAACTAGGTCTCATCGGTTTACAGTTAAATTGGCTAGATCTAACCGTAAATTTTATGCTAACTAAATGTAACCGTAAGTTCTATGCTAACAGTTTTTGCTCAAGCATTTTTCACTTGTGGAACTCTCTTCCGGCTTCTTGCTTCCCAGTCAACTTTGATACTCAAACATTTTAACTCGTTTTAATTCCTTTTCTTTTATTGTTCTCTCTCATTAATAATGTTTTCTTCCCTCATATTCGCCCACACTCAGTAACCCTTGCGTGGTAGTGGCTTTATTGCCTTGCTAGGGGGGAAATGGTTAAAAAAAATTAAAGAAATTTTATACTTTTTATACATTGTTAATTGAAGAAAAAATATTCTGATTTTATAATTGACCAGTGTGTAATTTTTCAGCTAGAGCACTGCATTATCCAAGTATGCATGTTTTCTAGTGCGGCTAACCAATCCCTGTTGTAGACGCCTGCTCAGGTTTATGCGGCAACTTTGCTGAGCGGGCCTTAGTTACAGTTTCTGGGAGTGAGCTCATAATCTGACATAGGCAACAGTTTGTATAAGGCCAGCATGCTCAAACCCACGGTCACGATAAAAATCAACTGTACTTTGTAGCCTGTTATAGTGGAACACGCCTATTCTATAGTTAATAGACTCTTCCACCTATAATAAGTAGTAGTAGTAGTAGTAACGAGGAGTCGCTGAGTGGGTCGGTCAGTCAGTCGATGTCGGTCGACAGACTGACTGGTTGAATTCTCTGCCTTCGGGCGGGGAGGAACCGGAAGGAGGCTACGTCGAAGTGCGGATTCTCTTTCGGGGAGGTAAACCGACCCTGAACCCGTTTATACGGGTTCAATGGGTATATTTTTTGGCCGAGCCCACGGGCTCGGAGATCCGACGTTAAACCGGCCTTGTGCCACATGATGCCCACATGGTGGGGGGTGACTAAATACTCTCAGTGAGTTGGTCAGTCAGTCGATGTCGGACGCCGTTAGTCGGATATTAAAGTATCAGCCACCACAACTAGATTTCTCTGCATCATTACCTATTATATGAAGTTCCTAACGTTTTGTATATAACAGTACCCCACAGTCATCGACAAACATTTTCGTCTACCCAATTTCACTCACACGGTTTGGCTCAATCCGTGGTATGACTTTCAGGCATTTTACAAGGGTGCCGCTCGCTGGGACCGCCTTCAAATGAAGAAGTCACCTCCCTGATAAATTGGGATGAGACTCGAACACAGGTCTCATTATTGGAAAGCGATTGTGCTAACCAACCGGCTATGCGGCCATTAAAACGTCCTGATAATGTTGCGGATTGATGAGTGTTCCGTTTTGAGATCAAGAAAATAGTTGATTGGATTGTTAAAGGAACGTCGCCACAACGTCACATAACTCCCAACAAAATAAAATACGTCTTTAACTCTGCGTGTCTTACGGCCACACCGCGTGGAAAAGTGATTCCCGTACGATCCCCGAAGTTAAGCAACATCGATCCATGACACCACTTGCACAACCAACCTTACAGCACCTGGTGTTCACAAATGGTTAATCATCTAGGTACTGACCAAGGTCGACGTTGCTTAACTTCGGTGATCGTACGGGAACTGTTGTTTCAACGTGATGTAGCCGCAAGATGGAGGTGTTCAGGAAATGATTGAATGAATAAATATGATGCTTCACTCTAAATGCAGAGCAAGTTAGAAACAGGTGCGTACCTATAAAAAGAGACAGGATGTCTTCCATCAAACTGAAGTATACAACATGTCTGACCTGATTATTTGCGAGCCACAGTTTACAACTTTTTAAAAAAATTTTATTCTTTAACATGTTCTCACTCTTTGACTCATACGAAGATTATTTTTTCCTTAGACAAATACATAAAAATGTGCTTATCTAAATATCCGCATTCACGGTAATAAATTGAAACAAATTCACAAAGACTTAATATCTCGCCTGCTGAATGCTGGGCATTTGATTTAAATATGGCCGCTGAGAAAAGAAAATATCGGTTGACTTATAATTTATATTGAAACCAGCCTGAGTAGTAAGTGGCTGTAGCAACAGCAGATTGACAGGGTTGGGTATGTGTTTTTGTAGCTGTCTCATGTTGGGGAAACTCGTAACCTTTTTCACGACAGATCAACCAGTGTCAGGCGAAAACATAAATCATGCAAATGCAACTACTTCACTGTCCGTGAGTGTTTGCCCACTTGGAGTTCTGCTTGGCGGAAGTTAGCAAATCTCGTTTACAAACCCGTTGAGTGGTTTCTGTGGCAGGCAGAACTTAGTACGGGGTCGGTATGTTAAATACTACCCATCTCGACATATCAACCTAAGGAAAATATTGTTCAGGTCTTTTCTTTTCTTTTGTTTGTTTGTTTGTTTGTTTGTTTGTTTGTTTGTTTGTTTGTTTGTTTGTTTGTTTGTTTGTTTCTTTCTTTCTTTCTTTCTTTCTTTCTTTCTTTCTTTTCCCCCAATCTATCTCTTTTTTTCTCTCTCTGGATACCTCTTTCACTTTTTTTCTTTCTTTCTTTCTTTCTTTCTTTCTTTCTACCAATTTTCTCTTTCCCCAATGTATCTCTTTTTTTCTCTCTCTATGTGGATACCTCTTTCAATTTCTTTCTTTCTTTCTTTCTTTCTTTCTTTCTTTCTTTCTTTCTTTCTTTCTGTGGTGGTTGACGTGGCTTATCTGTTAGTTTTACAAACTTACTTTCCTTGTTCAAATCTCTCCGGAGACAGAATAAGTTTTACTTATGCATTAACAAACCCGATTATAACAAAGAAAGTGAAGAGACAGAAGAGCGGTATTGCTCACCAGGAATATAGTCTAGCATACTTGTTTCCAGACATGGCCGATGTAATACTATCGTTCTACAGACCAATATGAACACGTGACTAAACCTCTTATACCTCATAATATTGTTTATTCACCTCCAGACTTTTCTTTTATACTAATGTTCACGCCATACAAGCCCCAAGATGTACTCAAGGTAGAAAGTTACTGTATGGTGTTGTATAAGCATCTTAAAATGACAATAAGTGCAGTTCATGAGTTTATGCAGGAAAGATAGCGGTTAACTCTAGACCTGAAGAGGTCAAGATTATAGTGATCGGGAAAAAAAATTCTGCCAGGTTCCACAAAGCAGCACTTCTTGGGAAAAAGCAGTTCGAGTCAAACTTACTTCTTATTAATGAAATACGAAGGGAATGAGGATGATTCATTCGTGTGTACGCGGCATTGGCAGCAAAGGTTATGGCTGGTGGGATCAAGGAATGCCATAGAAATAGTAACACAGTAGAGAGAGGCTTGCGATGTTTTGTCTGTAAGAAAGAGAGTTTCAAGATGGAAAATAATTAGTTACCCACAAGGCCGCGTAGACAAGGGCTAACTGTACAACTCCATCTCGAATATGACAACAATACTCCATTTTTGATCTGATCTGCCTTTTTTAAAGACAGAGTATAGCAGAAGGAAGCATGGTGGAGTAATGCATAATGGCTCAAATTGAAGAATCGGAGAGTCGGGTTCGAATTCCAGTCTGATCCATTACATTCACTTATGTGCTTTGGGAAAGGTATTAATCCATCACTCTCCCCTCAGCTATGAGTAAATAGCAAGACTGACTGGGTTCCATGGCAACCGGTCTAGGAGATGGAAAACTCTGAATACAAACCAGCCTCCAAATCCAGAGAGAGTGACCTGAAGGCAGTTAATAACTCAGTACTATCTGGTATTATCTGGCATCCCCTTCGGTCTGCTTTCTCTCCACAAACGTCACACACTTGTGCGCCCTGGGATTGTAGGAGTAGGAAGAGAGCTTTGTTGTAGCTCAGCGCAACCCACTGCAATCACACCAACCTGCACAAGGTACCTAGCTGCGTTTGGTTGGCTCATCATCTATTCTCGACGGACTACTTTAAATAGCAGAAGGGGTCAGGTACTTAATGGAGCGGCGCAATGAACCGATAATTTCCCAGCATAGATCGCATATATGAGTTTCACTTGAGGTCTGGGGTGAGCTTGAGTCCTACAAGGCGTTCAAAGCAAGGAGCCTTCTTAAGTGTTATGGGAACTTACCCATAATAATAATGGACTATTCCTGACATTATAAATACTGCGCCTCTCAAGAGGTATGAATGTTGTAAGACGAGGAGAGATAATTGAGAGCATATTGTAAGGACATTGGAATAGTGATACTTGTCGAGACAACATAGTTCACTCTAACCAAATCTGATAGTCATTACTAATACTTCTACTTCTTTGTATTATATTTCTGTTGTAATATATCTTTGTATTCCATACCTGTGTTCGTGTTATTCTTTCATTGGTTCTAACCTTGGACCATCACCGTGATACAAGGAACTTGGACCATAACATTAAGAGAATTCGCATCCATAATGTTAATCTACAAAAATATTCCCAAAAAGATTATTCCTTTATTTTTTTTTTTTAATGAGCGAATTTAAATCGGGCCGATTTTTTATATCGAGTATCTATAATTTTGTTGTAATAAAAAGCAATAGGAAACAAAGGAGAAAATAAAAACTAGACAATAAAATTAATAAATGAAAACTACTACAGGACAATATTATATACGGATGTGAAAAATCATAGCAATACGACTAAATTTGAATTTCATAAGCTGATGGTCTTCTATAGTCTAATTGGCGAGGAGCTGTCACACAAGTTTTCAAAGGATACATAAGATTATCATATTTTGTGCTCTTTTTCTATCAGATAAATAATGGATTATTCTGGTTTAGAAAAAGAAAGAATAAAGAAAGAAAGAAAAAAGAAAGAAAGAAAAAAGATTGATTTGTTTTTTACGATTTAGCAACGTTTTTGAAGGTTATATAAAGCCAGAAAATATTTTTGGATTGTAAGAATTTTTTGTTTTCAGAGACGAGACTCTGTCTTTCGACATAGCCTCGTGTGGGGATCTTTTCTGTCCGGAGGTAGAGAGTTTGACCATACAGCTGGAGACGAATCTCCAACTGCAGGATATCTAACAACCGCCCCACGCTGTCAGATGTGGCACAAAGCCAGATTTAATGTGGTGTATCCGAGCCCTTAGGCTAGGCCAAAAATTCCCCGTAGACCCCGTATAAAACGGGGTCGGGTAGCTGTTTCCCGACTGCGGACCAACATACAGTATTTACTACTGTATTTATGTGAATGGGGACATACCTACTATCGTCCGTAGGTATGCTACAGCAGAAAGAAAAGGAAGAGTGGGCGATAACACTCTCGTGTGTTTAACGTCTGCTTCAGTGAAATGGAAAACCGTGTCAGTTTTGAATCTTTTCATTTGTATCCTCTTAATTCTTTATGTAATTTATTTATTATTGTTATTGTAATATTTTGTTAAAGTTAAGCTAAAAAAATTGACAAAAAGAAATTCTCATGTGCATTATATTGTCATGGAAACTGCAAGGAACATCATACTTATTATAAAACCCAGGTTGTGTGTGTGTCTGTACATTTATATATTGAATCGGATTTCCTACATTTTTCAACCGATTTCAACAAAACTTCACAGGACTACGTAAAATTACCTTGCGGTGGTTCTGACAGTGCCAAAAATTGGAAAAACACAATTGTTTTTCCACGAATTCAATTTGAAAACACGATTAAGAGGCATCGCGATAATGAAAGGGGGACAACTCATATAGAGTTATACTTATTATAAAACCCAGTTTTTTTGTGTGTGCGTGTGTGTTCGTTTATATATGAGATCGGATTTCCTACATTTTTCAACCGATTTCAACAAAACTTCACTTTTTTTTGGCAGCTAGTGTTTCTTATTGTCTTGCACACTTTTTTCTTTATTTTTACATTCAGAATACTTTAAAAATTCCATTTACAAGACAATTGTTTATAATAAAATTCTATTCAATCGATAGACTCATAACGATTGAAAACAATGTTTTTGTTTGAGTTTGAGTTTGACAAATTCGTTAAAAAAAACAAACAAAAAAAACTAATTAAGACATGCGTGTCCGTCAATCTTAAACAATAATCTTTGTCAATTTATTTTTCAGTCTTTATGATGGTCGATACTTGATCTATCTCTTACTGTTACATCCCCGGGCAACGCCGGACTCTACTGCTAGTCATTAATAAATCTGTATTGCAAAGCAGCACTGTGATGTTGTCATGGCTTTGAACAGAATATATCTTGCATTCTATCTAGAATATAAAATCGAGAAAATATTGTTTATTCAAACAAATTTTAGGTCTATATTTCAGAATATCAAATAACGATGGCAGGTTTTGCCTCAAAAAGTGCGAACGCTGTAACAAAATCAGCGTGCATGTAATACTATTTGTTGTATTTTTCCCTGGTAATCTCGGGGTCAGAAATCCTATTGACGGTACCAAATGTAACAATATACCGGGGAGAGGTTCGTTGTTCAGGTCACTAGTTCGGTTATGTGTTTCAAACTAGCGTCTACATTTCTCCAGTAATAATGTTTGACAGCGTTATGCACTAGTTCGAATCGCTTGTTCACTACTATGATGATGACAAAACAAATTTCACGTGCATGTTAGATTGTTCCCCTACATTTCAAAGGTTGACTAATAATTTGGTGGCCTTTCTTATAGTCATTGCTACGATCTACCGTTTCCA